CACATACCCGTTTTGCATTGAGGTGAGACTTTAGCTTGTACATTAAACTTTGAAGTAATTCATGAAATTGATGTTATGTTTACAATCTTGAGCTATGAATGCAAGATATCTAGCAGAATTTATCTTATGTAATTTTGTTGGTTTTAATTGAGTTTGTGTGTTTATTCGTTATTTTCTTTAGTTTGGTGTTTACTCGAGGACAAGCAAAATATTAAGTTTGGGGGTATTTGATGAGTGCTCTACACTCATGACATTTATGTCAGTTAATTGATTATTTTGTTATCCTTGAGAGTATTTAAGAAGATTTTAATGTGTGTTTTACTGTTGTGATATATGTTGATGAGATTGAAGAAAATAAACAAAAGTTGGCAAAATTGGAGAAAATGGTCAAATTGTAAGGGATCCAAAGTTCGGGGACAAAAATACAAATAATTAAAAGTTGTGTTGATCCTTGAAATGAAGATCCGAGAGTGCTATGAGTCAATTGGATAAAGAAAGATGTCAAAGGGATCAAATTTAGTAAAAATATGATCACAAATCAATTTCCAATCGAAAAAGTTATGCTCCGGAGTTTAGTCTCATATTGAGACCAACTTTTGACAGAGCAAACGATTGAACTAGAGAATTATGTTTGAAGCAAACTAAGTTAGATTTCCAATGCATCTTGAATAGCCTAAATCGGAAGTCAAATGAATAAGTTATGATAAAAATATTGAAGGATGCGCAGTGCAGCCTGAAACGGGCGCCGCAACGCCCACCACATTGAAAATAGTAATAAAAGCAACACCTGTCGTGCCCATATTGTGCACTGAGAGCCGACTATGTGGGAAAAGGATTTTTTTTGTTTTTGTTTTTATTTTTGGGCCCAACTCAATCATAATTTGTTGAAGAACTTCAAGATACCATAAATACTATTCAAAAGACTTATTTTCTCCAAGAATTGAAGGGGGGTAAAATTGAAGACAATTCAACACAATTCATCAAGGGCAAGGAGGCATGAAGAACATAAAGGGAATTCCAATTAAAAACTTCAAAAGAGGTTTTCTTTCTTTTCCTCTTTATGTTATTCATCAATGTGTTTGATTGTAACCACAACTTGAGAATATGAATTGATTAATTTTAGTTTTTTCTATTTGGTTTTCCATATGTGTTTATTTTTATTATAATTTTAATGCTTTTAATTAATTGGCTACTAATTGAATAAGTAGATGCTAGTCAATTTCGACACTCGAGAGAGAGAAATTTAGGCGCTATCATAAAATTAATACAACCTAGAATTTATGGATTTCGAGAGAAAGTTTAAATTCTTTGAAATATGTTCCATCTAAGAACTATGATCTAAATAATTCTTTGACTTTAATTCAGAATAGAGATTTTGGGATTAATTTCTAGGAATCTTTCTAGCCGGCACTCGAGAGAGAGGATAGAAATACAATTGAATTCTTGCTTATAAACCTGGAAAATTGATTAGAGATAAATAAACTTTTGAAATTCATATTTGATAGTAAGGTGAAATAACAACTCTAGGCTTTCTTATCTTGATTATTCTTATAACTTGTATTTATTTGTTGAATTTGTCACCACATTCATCATTTTAATTTAGTTTAGAAACATTGATTCTAAAAATTCATTCATCTAGATAAAGCAGAAGCTATATAATTATAATACTTAGTAAAAATTGAATTATAATTCCTGTGGGTTCGATATTGTTAACTCATTTACTATATTACAAAACTTAATACTGTACACTTGCGGTACAAAATCACGTTATAGAAAACACGTGGCAAAAAGCTTGTTTGTCATAGAGGCTATTTGAAAGAGAAATAAAAATGTTGCTCACCGATTTGTTTAGGTTGGTAATTTGCAATGTTGAGGTTGTTTCTTGTGTTTGTTTGGTGCTTAAAATTGATATTGGATTAATTGTTCGCAGGTCGATTCCCATTGTAGAATGGGAGAAAAGAATTCTGAAATTTGTCATGGTTGTAGAGGTAAGGGACACTTCTTTGATGAATGTCGGAGTAAGCACCAGTGCCTGTTCTGCAAAAGTGGATTTCATAAGTGCTTTTGAGGTGGAGAGAGAGACACTGATAACAAAGGAAAATTATTCAAATGCTGCATTCGGAAATACGATTTTTGGGAGTAGGTTTGAGAAGGTGAATCGAGCGAAGAATCAAGTGTCGTCAATAGCTCAACGAATCCTACATCGAAGGAAGCAGTGTCAGATTTGTCCCGCATGTTTCAATATCAAATTCAGTTACCTGACGAAGAATAGGTCCAGATTTCAATGAACATGAACACAACGATCCGCAAGCAGGGGTAGAGCCAGGAATTTTGTCCAGTGTGAGCAAAATTTAATCAAGGTCGGACTTTTCGGTTATGGATTTAACGATATTACGACAATGCTAAAAATAATATAGTGACAACACTAATAAGTAATCATCTTCTTCCTTAATCTAGGATATGTAGTAAGCCGTGCAACATCAAAATCCATTTTATTCGATATCTCCGCATCAAATTTTCTACGAAATATTTTCTTTTAAAGAATCTCTACATTGGCACTTTACACTAAAATAAATCACAAGTGACAATTAAGTACTAATTAATAAGTAAAGAGCTACTAATTTTTACAAATTGGTAGAACACCATAAAATCATCACTAGTTGTTTAACTAATTGGCAAAAATCAAAACTTCAAGAATCTATCACAAATATTATCAATATTCAACATTCACATAATTAAAATCCTTAATATTAAACAGAAAAATCACATGATCGAGAAAATTTTTGTTGCAAATTTGAGGGCCCAAGAAAATGTAGGTTTTAGGAAAGAAATGAACTTTGAAAATATTTTAAAACGAGGGCGATTTAAAGAAAATTTCTGATTTCTTGCTAAGGGAAAAGAGTCGGAAAATGTCGCTGTACACTTGGAGTTGGGGTAAATTAGTGTATGGGCTGGACTATAAATAAATAAGAAACATAGTTAAATAAAAAAAGGGAGGGGGGGGGGGGGGGGGGGGACTATAAATAAATTAAAAACATACCTAATAAAAAAAATTGGATTGACCATGGGCTTGGGCCAAAAGTCCAGTGCGGGCATTTTACACTGGATAGTACATGGCTCTACCCATGTCCGCAAGGGTAAAGTAATCGTGGAAAAAAATGCAAAATGAAAGTGTCTGGCTTGATTAGTAGCCCCAAATATTTAATAAATGTTTACGTTATGTATGTTTGTATTTATATGACTATTTCTAGCAACTTTGTGCCTACTTCCAAAAAATGGATATGAACTATGCTTTTTGATGACCGATTCTAGTTGTAACTTGTGTTTCTCTTATTATTGCCTGAATACAAAAGTTCAAAGTCAATCCAATCTAAAGAGTTTATTACATTGCTTAACATAACCATTTCAAACATTTCATTCAAAACTAGAGTTGCCTAAATACAAAAATGTTTAACAAAAGGAATTCAATCTAAAGTGTTTAACAAAACCAATCCAAACATCTCATTGAAAAACTAATGATCCATGAATGCGATAAATTCTAAACTGTGAATATGATAATGTTGTTGGCATTGAATATTGTTGATGTTGGGATGCCTGAAGATCCTGTGTGCCAATTGGCGTAGCACTCTTACTGGATTTAGGTCTCTTTCCTTTGCTCGATATTGATGTTGCTTACATGTGAAAAAGAACATATGAGGATTTGTATTCAGAATCAGAAATAGTTCGAATGATAACGTTTTATGATACCTTTGCTTTCTTTGAACTGGACTCTAATGGGCTTTTGCTTCAAAGTTTTTTTTTTTGTTTTGGGCACACCCCTTCTTCTCAACACGATAGGATCCATTACGCTCCCGCTCGTAGTATTCTATGATAGAGTACACTGGTTGACTTAATGTACTGTATGATGTGCGAGGACATTACTGGTAGTACTCGACCGTGTCAAGAACCATATGATTCGATCTACTCCATTATCGCATGAGTCTGACTGTCATCATTTGTAGCAAGGTTTGCCATCACAGCAAAAGACTGACACGCATCGGCGTATCTCACCTGACTAGGTGTACTAACCAACTTATTGTAGTTCACCGTGACCCTTGTATGTGTTCGACTAACATCTCTCCTCCATCGTATAGTGATCTGATATCATTACAGACCAAGATTGATATTGCATGCCTATAAATTATTCCTTAAAACTCAAACAAGTGACAGTTCCAAATAATTTGAAATTGTTGTGGTTGAACGGGCTAATCCTGGTTCAAAGTTAAATTTCATGTTCATTGATGACAAGTCAGCAATTGAAAAAATTGCTGTAGAAATCCTGTACAAATGAGTATGGTAACATAGCACAGTCGTTACAAAGCTTTTGCCCTTCCTTTTAGTGAACTACAACCTAAATATCAAACTAACACAGTGAGGGGATCTCCTTGTAGGCGCAGTGTACAGACAGCTCTTGTTCTCTGACCTGCTGGGCACATTCCGAGATTTACCTCCCTCACAAAACTCTAGGAGTGGGGGGGGGATGATGATCCTCAAGATTGGGGTTCAACCTTTAACACGGTGAGGGGACATGCCAGAGCTAGAATCAGTGCCATCTCAAAAGTGGCCACTTGGTCATATCTTTTTTATTTAATTCCCCAAACCTCATTTTATTTTTGTAGGCTTAACATTTAGCCCATATGCGTCTATCACTAAAATAGGAAAATAACTTTGGAATGGTGACTTTTAAGAAATGTGTGGTTAAAAAGTAGGAAAATATTTTGAGTTTGTGCGTAAAATATATAATTGTGATACTGTGTGGTTGAAAATAATTTTGAGAATATTTTTTTGAAATAATGGTAGTTTTATTTTTCCAAATAGTTAACGGGACCGGATCGGACCGTCAGCTAGCGGACCCGTCTACATTAGATAATGGGAAGCACGTTTTAATCCACTTTCCCGCGAAAATCTCGCATCCCAAATGTCATGGTCAGCCCACCCACACCACGCCACTCCATCTCTCCCATTTCAAATTGTGAATATCTTTGTCAAATGAAATTGAATTCTCAATGTCGAGCTCCAAACAAAATCCAGCCACCTCCGATCACAAGGATTTTTTACGGAAACTTCCTCCAATTTCCGTTCGTCGCAGGGGGAATGTTGATGGAGGTGAAGAGGAGGAGAATCTTAATTTAGGTAAGAATGAGTCAGAGAGGGGGAAATCGTTAACTGTTGAGCCCTCGATGCTTGGCCTGAATCAACTCCGGATGCAGTCGGTTCCTTTGCCTCTTGATTTTGTGAATATAGGGACTAGTAATAATCAAGGGAAAGACAAAGGCAATTTGCGAGCTAAATTGTCTTCCACTTCTCAAGAATCTGCGGTCACTTCTTTTGAACAAGGTGAATTCTTCGCAATTTGATTTCTACTGTATTGATGAATATTTTATGTAAGCGGGCATGTGCATATACATGGTGGACAGTGGACTCCGTTCATAGTATGAGTGTTTGATTTGGATTGTACAATTGAAATCCTATAAATAAATCTGTCCTACTGACTGTAGTGTTTTTTTAGCATGAAGAGAATGTAGAATGAAGAATAACTTTAGCAGATTCAGTGATCGTAAATAGAACCTCTATACAATTTTATCATATACTAGATGAGAAAACCAGAAACAGAAGTCAAATTTTAATCACTGAGGGCAGAAGCATCATTTAACTATTAAGGACAACTGTTTCATGGAAAAAGGTAACAAAAACGGGGTCTAAGAATTTGAATTTCCTTTTGCTTTCCTTTTGAATTATTTGGAAAATATTCCGTAAACTTTAGTAGTCCAAGCTCAAATTTCAGTCAAAATATGCATCTGAATGGCATGTTACTGTTTTTAGGTAAAAAGGTCCAGTGGAGTCAATCAAAATCTTTGAGAATCCTTTCGCCCCACCGTTCGGTGTCAGTGGTATTCACACTCCAACCCTTCATGGCTGTTCTATTATATTAGAAGTTTTGGAGGTTTCTTCTATAATATTAAGTTAGATGAATAAATTATGTAGCTGAGCTTCATGTCACTGTGCTTATTGTAGGGTTATCATGCAGCTTTTATCAAGGAAATGCAATCTCCACGTCTCCAGGCTATTCTGCGTTTAACAAGTGGTTGTAAAGACAGAGCACCAGATATTAAGAGCTTCTCTCACGAGCTCAATTCAAAAGGTGTCCGACCACTTCCATTTTGGAAATCTCGTGCTGTTGGTCACACGGAGGTATGTAAGATACACCTTGTACCTTCGTGTTTCTGCTTATGAACTCAAATATTTTGCTTTGTCACACAGATTTTCGTATATTTCCTACTTGTATCTCATTCTCAATTATGCATTTAACTTCCACTATCAACTCTTGCCAGGAGATTATGTTAATGATTCGGTCAAAATTTGATAAATTAAAGGAAGCAGTGAATTCTGACTTGGGCGTCTTTGCTGGAGATTTGGTGAGTATACTTGAGAAGACTTCAGGATCTAATCATGAATATAAAGAAGGTTTGGAGGATTTGTTAGTTATAGCTAGGCAGTGTGCAGAGATGTCATCCAACGAATTTTGGTTAAATTGTGAAGGCATAGTACAGAATCTAGATGACTGTCGTCAAGAGCTATCGATGGGAACTCTCAAGCAAAGGCATACACGCCTCTTATTTATCCTCAGCCGCTGCACTAGGCTTGTTCAATTCCAGAAGGAGAGTGGTTATGATGAAAATCTCATTCTACCTTCTCACCAACTTGGTGACCTTGGTGTGTACCCTCAAGGTATTCTTGGGGTGTCACAAGTTTGGAAAGAAAGTGATGAGAGACAAACTTACAAAATCCAGGAACAGGACCAAAGCAATACGAATGTCAAACAAGATGATTTAATTGAAGAGGTTAGCACTGCAAAGAGTGTTGCTTCATCCACAGGAAGTTATAAGATGTCATCTTGGAAAAAACTCCCATCTCCAGCTGAGAAAAACCAGAAATTCCACGACCCTAATGGTGCCCCTTCCAAGGATAAATCTGATAAATTGCAACAAAAAGAAGAAATAGATAGTGCGGAAAAAATTGATACTCCAGTCCATCAGCCACAACATTCAGAAGATTCTTTGAAGGTAGATCAAGTAACATGGGGAGTTTGGGATCAACACCAGATGACATACGGGGATTCATTGATATGCCGTATATGTGAAGTTGAAATACCAATAGTTCATGTTGAACATCACTCCAGAATTTGTACAATTGCAGATAGATGTGATTTAAAAGGTTTATCTATAAATGAACGGATTGAAAGAGTTGCGGAGACCCTTGAAAGAATACTTGAATCATGGACACCAAAAAGCACAAGCACTAGGTTGGAAAGTTCTGGAGTGGCGAGAGTGTGTGTAGCCAGTTCACCAGAAGCGTTGGATGCGTTGTCACCAAAGTATAACAGCTTGTCTTTCCGATGCTCTAAAGACAAATTGCATAGCATTTGCGAGGTTGATAACTCTGTTCCCACGGATGATCTCCACAGTTGTCCTTACGTATCATGTGAAAATTGTGTCTCTATACCTGATCAGTTTAAGAAGGCCTCATCACCGTTGACGCCTCGATCGCCTTTAGTAACCCCACGGACCAGCCAAATAGAGCTTCTGCTGAGGGGACGGAAAACCATATCTGAATTTGAAAGTTATAAGCAGGTAGTGATTTTTTGTACTACATAAAATTTCAACTTGAAAAATTGTCTATAGAACTCTTGGTTACTGAATGGAATTTTTTTCTACCATATTCATTTCATTATCACCTTTTCCCGTCCCGAGAATTTTTTTATATTATCTTACGTGTTCCATCATTTAATTGGCTTTCTTCAAGTGAATTCTAGTAGATTGTTCTAGTCTGTGTTGCTGAACTCATTGTATCTCCTACTCTTTCTTCTTAGTATTTTTTATATCTAGCATTACTTTGTTTTAAATATTTCATTCTACCTGGACATTTTGACCCCGTCAATTCTGCTTTCTTGAAAGTTTATATTAAGAGTGCGTTTAACTATCAATATTTTTCATGAAAAATGTACCATCCAACTTTTTACTTTTGTGCTTCCTAACGCTCTTCCTAGTTACGGGACTCTAAAAATCAGCAAAATCCTAAAGATTGCCTCTCGCTGTTGGTCGCTACAAACTCAACACCGGAGCCCTCATCCCTTGGCCATCGCAAACTCAACACCAGAGTTCTTATCCCACAAAAAAATCTTGGCTGGTTGTGCCGCTGAGTAAGGTTCAATTATTTGACTGGATAATATTAATTGCATTGGAGCACCAAATCTAATTTTGTATGAGTTTACTTCATTTGCATCACCAACTCTAGTTCATTTCATTCGAAAATCTTGTTTAGATTGGCAGACACCCATTTTACAGAGAAGTATTTAAAAACACCCATTCTACCAATTAATTCTAAAATAGATTTAAAAAGTGATAAGTGCTCTACACTCATGATATTTATGCCATTTAATTCATTATTTTGTTATTCTTGAAAGTGTTTTAGAACGTTTTAATGTGTATTTTGATGTTGTGATATAGGGTGATGAAATTGAAGAAAATAAGCAAAAGTTGACAAAATTAGAGAGAATGGCCAAATTGTAAGAGATCCAAAATTGGGGGACTAAAATTCAAATAAATAAAAGTTGTGTTGAACCTCAAAATGAAGATCTGAGAGTGCTATGAGTCAATTGGATGAAGAAAGATGTCAAGGAATCAAATTTAGTAAAAATATGATCACAAATCAATTTCTAACCGAAAAAGTTATGATCCGTAGTTTTAGTCTCATATTGAGACCCACGTTTGACAGAGCAAACGATCGAACTGGAGAATTACATCTAAAGCAAATTGAATTAGCTTTCCAAAGCATATTGAATCACCTCAATCGGACATAAAACAAAGAAGTTATGATAAAAATACTGAATGATACGTAGTACAGTCTTTCCACCTAAAGCAGGCGCCGCAGTGCCTACCATGCTGAAAATAACATTAAAAGCGGAAAACGAATTTTCTATTTTATTTTTAAGACTTTTTTTTATGCAACTTAACCATAAATCGTCCAAGAACTTCAAGATATTATAAATACCATACAAAAGACCTATTTTCTCAAACATTTGAAGGGGGCAAGATTCAAGACAATTCAACACACAATTTATCAAGGACAAGGAGGCTAACATCAAGGAATCAAGCAAGGAAGCATGGAGAACATCAAGGGGAATTTCAATTAAAAGTTTCAAAAGAGTATTTCTTTCTTTTTCTCTTTATGTTATTCATCAATATATTTAGATTTAATTATTCCATCATGAACTAAACATTTAATCTAGGGTATGATTGTAACTAAAACATGAGAATATGGATTGATTTATTTTAGTTATTTCTATTAGATTTTTCATATGTGTTTATTTGTGTTATGATTTTAATGCTTTGCACTAATCACTTCATAAAAGGGAAAAAACTTCCTTATTGTGAAGTTACCCTAAAAAGATCCCAATAAGGACAATCATAATAATCTCATTGTGAATTTTCACTTCATAGCCTTTATGACTTAAGTAATTAAGTCTGCAAGAGTTAAAAATCTGCTGCCCTAAAGTCATCTGATTTGGGAGTCATCGGCATAAAACTCGCTACAGAAATCATTTAGAAATCTTAATGGAGAGACATTTGCACAAAGGGTGATTAAAGAATAAATTTATATTGAAAAAAATATGGACATCACACGTCTTGTTTAAGCTCCAAACACTTTTTTGAAAGGATTAAGCTTTTGATAAGAGGTTAAGTAACTTGGTTGATTCTTGGATTTGAAGCAGTCAAAAATAAGGAGAATCTTCATTTGTTGATATTTTGAATTGCAATTAGTAAAATCTGACCAAACTTGAGCGATGTAAGAAGTTAGTATTGGAAATCAACTCTATGATACATCTTGAAAAGTGAAAAGAAAACAAGTTTGTGGATGCATGAATCTCACGGGTGAAGTAAGGAAATATTTGACTTTTAAAGTCAGGAATTAAATCAACTTATTATTGTACAGCGTTGCACTTAATTCTCCACACACATACCCGTTTTGCATTGAGGTGAGACTTTAGCTTGTACATTAAACTTTGAAGTAATTCATGAAATTGATGTTATGTTTACAATCTTGAGCTATGAATGCAAGATATCTAGCAGAATTTATCTTATGTAATTTTGTTGGTTTTAATTGAGTGTGTGTTTATTCGTTATTTTCTTTAGTTTGGTGTTTACTCGAGGACAAGCAAAATATTAAGTTTGGGGTTATTTGATGAGCGCTCTACACTCATGACATTTATGTCAGTTAATTGATTATTTTGTTATCCTTGAGAGTATTTAAGAAGATTTTAATGTGTGTTTTACTGTTGTGATATATGTTGATGAAATTGAAGAAAATAAACAAAAGTTGGCAAAATTGGAGAAAATGGTCAAATTGTAAGGGATCCAAAGTTCGGGGACAAAAATACAAATAATTAAAAGTTGTGTTGATCCTTGAAATGAAGATCCGAGAGTGCTATGAGTCAATTGGATAAAGAAAGATGTCAAAGGGATCAAATTTAGTAAAAATATGATCACAAATTAATTTCCAATCGAAAAAGTTATGCTCCGGAGTTTAATCTCATATTGAGACCAACTTTTGACAGAGCAAACGATTGAACTAGAGAATTATGTTTGAAGCAAACTAAGTTAGATTTCCAATGCATCTTGAATAGCCTAAATCGGAAGTCAAATGAATAAGTTATGATAAAAATATTGAAGGATGCGCAGTGCAGCCTGAAACGGGCGCCGCAGCGCCCACCACATTGAAAATAGTAATAAAAGCGACACCTGTCGTGCCCATATTGTGCACTGAGAGCCGACTATGTGGGAAAAGGATTTTTTTTGTTTTTGTTTTTATTTTTGGGCCCAACTCAATCATAATTTGTTGAAGAACTTCAAGATACTATAAATACTATTCAAAAGACTTATTTTCTCCAAGAATTGAAGGGGGGTAAAATTGAAGACAATTCAACACAATTCATCAAGGGCAAGGAGGCATGAAGAACATAAAGGGAATTCCAATTAAAAACTTCAAAAGAGGTTTTCTTTCTTTTCCTCTTTATGTTATTCATCAATGTGTTTGATTGTAACCACAACTTGAGAATATGAATTGATTAATTTTAGTTTTTTCTATTTGGTTTTCCATATGTGTTTATTTTTATTATAATTTTAATGCTTTCAATTAATTGGCTACTAATTGAATAAGTAGATGCTAGTCAATTTCGACACTCGAGAGAGAGAGAAATTTAGGCGCTATCATAAAATTAATACAACCTAGAATTTATGGATTTCGAGAGAAAGTTTAAATTCTTTGAAATATGTTCCATCTAAGAACTATGATCTAAATAATTCTTTGACTTTAATTTAGAATAGAGATTTTGGGATTAATTTCTAGGAATCTTTCTAGCCGACACTCGAGAGAGAGGATAGAAATACAATTGAATTATTGCTTATAAACCTGGAAAATTGATTAGAGATAAATAAACTTTTGAAATTCATATTTGATAGTAAGGTGAAATCACAACTCTAGGCTTTCTTATCTTGATTATTCTTATAACTTGTATTTATTTGTTGAATTTGTCACCACATTCATCATTTTAATTTAGTTTAGAAACATTGATTCTAAAAATTCATTCATCTTGATAAAGCAGAAGCTATATAATTATAATACTTAGTAAAAATTGAATTATAATTCCTGTGGGTTCGATATTGTTAACTCATTTACTATATTACAAAACTTAATACTGTACACTTGCGGTACAAAATCACGTTATAGAAAACACGTGGCAAAAAGCTTGTTTGTCATAGAGGCTATTTGAAAGAGAAATAAAAATGTTGCTCACCGATTTGTTTAGGTTGGTAATTTGCAATGTTGAGGTTGTTTCTTGTGTTTGTTTGGTGCTTAAAATTGATATTGGATTAATTGTTCGCAGGTCGATTCCCATTGTAGAATGGGAGAAAAGAATTCTGAAATTTGTCATGGTTGTAGAGGTAAGGGACACTTCTTTGATGAATGTCGGAGTAAGCACCAGTGCCTGTTCTGCAAAAGTGGATTTCATAAGTGCTTTTGAGGTGGAGAGAGAGACACTGATAACAAAGGAAAACTATTCAAATGCTGCATTCGGAAATACGATTTTTGGGAGTAGGTTTGAGAAGGTGAATCGAGCAAAGAATCAAGTGTCGTCAATAGCTCAACGAATCCTACATCGAAGGAAGCAGTGTCAGATTTGTCCCGCATGTTTCAATATCAAATTCAGTTACCTGACGAAGAATAGGTCCAGATTTCAATGAACATGAACACAACGATCCGCAAGCAGGGGTAGAGCCAGGAATTTTGTCCAGTGTGAGCAAAATTTAATCAAGGTCGGACTTTTCGGTTATGGATTTAACGATATTACGACAATGCTAAAAATAATATAGTGACAACACTAATAAGTAATCATCTTCATCCTTAATCTAGGATATGTAGTAAGCTGTGCAACATCAAAATCCATTTTATTCGATATCTCCGCATCAAATTTTCTACGAAATATTTTCTTTTAAAGAATCTCTACATTGNATTGATGAGGTCATTAACTTTTAGGAACTAGGTCCAGAGTTCGTGATTGTAAGGGCCAAAAATTTTGTGTAAATCTGCAAAACTGGCAGGGGCATCTAGGAGTTCTTTTCAGTACCTGAATGGCTATAATTCAACAGCTTTGAGTTAGCCCTCACATTTGTCATTTTCTTCAGCCCGTTGAAATCGTCCAATCTAGCTACTTTTATATTTAACTTTAGGGAACTTAAGAATCCATTCATTACTTGTCCTGTACTGCCATTATAAGGGTTCAACATTATAACATTATAAGGGTGCAGTAAGAGTTGCCAGTCTTAACTCTTACAGTAGTTGATCCAATCTGCAGATTACAGGTTTAACAATTTAAAACCTCAGAAGAGAAATTTGTTTTAGTAAGATATCCAGAAGTCATCCATTAAAATATTTTGTTGTACAGATTAAGATGCTTATATGGGTTGTCCTCTACCTAATTTTCCTAGAAACAGAGATAATTTTCCCAAATAGTTTATTATTTCAATATTTCAAATGTACTTTGGGATCTATCATTTGCAAGTCTAATCTCATTTTAATTGCAATATGAGACAATTTTTTGCTTCTCTTAATGTTGATAACTTTTATAAAGATGAAATAGTTATTGCTTTAATTTTGCTGTCTGTATACTTTTATGCGGACTTACAGATCACATGGCTTTCAATGCAGCAAATTTTTGATAATATCATGAATAGAAACATTCCCTGGCCCAAGGTACCTGAGGAAATTAGCCATGAAGCTTATGATTTGATTGAAAAGTAAGTTTAGGAAAAGGAATTCGTACACCTTTTTATTTGGTACCATCAACTTAAGGTTGTCATTGTACCAAAACGATGGTGTTAGTTTGAATTATGGATGGTGCAAACATGCGTACATGTGAGAGTCGACTCCTCTGCAGGGTGTGAGGGTGAAACTGACCATCCTTATCTCTAGTGGTGAAATCTAAAAGCACCCATTCTGAAACATTTCTACTTGTTGCTTACAATCTTTTGGCAATCTTTTTACCCATGGTAGTGCTGTTAAGAGCCTAAGACACTAAATTTCATGCTTTTATTTGTGTAGAAGCATAATTACAGCAGGTGTTTATTCGGAACAGTAATTGATCTTGCTAACTTGAGTGAACTTGAACGAATATTTCTGCTGTCTTTCAGGTTGCTGATTGAAAATCCAGTTCAAAGATTGGGTGCAACTGGGGCTGGAGAGGTAACAATTATGCCACACTCGATTAAAACAAGGTTCCAAGATTGTGATTATATATCAGGATGCTAAATGTTATCCCGTTCTCTCTCAGGTGAAACGACATCATTTTTTTAAGGATATTAACTGGGACACTCTTGCAAGGCAGAAGGTTTCATCTACTTCTTCCCCATACTCACCTTCCACACACAGACACGATGAATTTAGAACATTTACTAAAGTTCTCCAATTTCCCGCAGGCATCATTCATACCATCAGCTGATGCACAAGACACTAGTTATTTTATGAGCCGGTACATTTGGGATCCAGAAGAGGGAAATGTTCATGGAGGTAGTGATTTTGATGACATGACTGAGACAGGCAGTGCCTCATGCAGCAGCTCGTACAGCAACATGCTGGACGAAGAAGTAAGCACGTGTTATTGCATTTTATTCTACTAAACATTTCAGTGTTTGAGTCAGAATCAGAATTTTAACTTTATTATCATAGACGTATTTAGGACCTGAATCAACAATCTCCCTTGCTGAATGTATGGGATGACTATGTTTAACGTGTAGTAGGCTTTTGAGTTTGATGATATCATTTTGCTTCCAATTTCGATGTCAATGGTCCAGTCACTCATTATCTGCTGATTAAAAAAAAAAATTAAGTCTGTTTTAATAAAACTGATACATCAACTTTTCATTATAGTACAAATTTCTAGTTGCTTTAAGAACTGATTCATTTTGAAGTATAATCATGGAAGATCTGTATAATCATAATCAGTTTTAAATGACCTAAAGTGTGGGCGAAATGTGGCCTATCTCCATTGCTTTCGTACTTTTAGTGTTATTACTGATCAAGTTCCATTGTTTGCAATGAAAACAGGGGGATGAATGTGGGAATTTGACAGAATTTGGTCCTCCTGCCCATAACACGACGTACTCATTCAGTAATTTCTCATTTAAGGTGAGAATCTCAAGTGTAAACACTTGAGGATCATTCAATTTTGTCACACCGTCCCTTCCAAATGAATAATGGAAGTGCAATAATTTGCCAGAATATGGTTTTTTGGTTAAAAAACCACCACTTGTCCAAATTATAGCATTGTTTTACTTTGATCACTGTATATTTTTTATTTCCAAATCTATTAGTGAAATTTCATTTTTATTTGTGTTTGTCTATCCCCCTGTTTTGAATTAAATGAAATAATGAAATGACTATGGAAAGTATGATTTGGCAAAGAAAAGCCNATTTGTGTTTGTCTATCCCCCTGTTTTGAATTAAATGAAATAATGAAATGACTATGGAAAGTATGATTTGGCAAAGAAAAGCCGTTACTGCATCGTTTTTTAAATAATGTTATTCATAGTGAAGACTATCGGTAGTCGTTTTATGTAACATACAATAACAAAGCGACACATGTATGCCATATAGGGCGATTACCGGATGTTTTCTCTATTAATAACATTACTCTTGTTTTTATCGTCCAACAATACATGTTTTTGCCCAGTTGGATGACAAAAACAATGCACTGATATTTTAGCGGCACCAACTTTTTCGTTTATTCAGCAAAAGGGGTAGATAAACTGAAACAAGAATGAACGTTCACTGATTAATCTGGGTCAGAAAAAGTTTGGTGATCAATGGTATTATTAAATGAGAAGAAGATCCTCATTTACTTCCTTTTGTCATCAGAACTTGTCTCAGCTGGCTTCTATCAATTATGACTTGGTTACAAGGAGTGCTAAAGAATTAGCAGAGTCTACAAAACCATCCGTTCCATGACAACAACATTGCTTCCAACCATTCCTATCATAATTTCAGATGTGCCAATGTGCTCTGCTGACGCAATAGTAACCGGTTCCGAGGTCCAAAGACGAAGAGTCGACCATAAAAGCTGGTGATAGAAATGATCCTCTAAGCATATCAGAAGAAGAATGACAGATGCATAGAATATGTATACCCAGCTTTTCATATGCATTTTCTTCCCTTTTTCTTTTGTCCTAAACGAATTACCAATATAGCAAAAATGGAAAGGTTTATTTAACTTATAATATTCTTAAATTTATTGCAAACGAGACTGGTTTTGTATAGAAGGTGTAGATTGTCTCATTTGTCTAAATAACATGGGTTCGTTATTTCTACAGGAAATTGACAATGGACGCCTGCAAACCCTTGGGCAGGTTCTAAACCAATATTTCTTTGTATCAATTTATTTCAAGTATCTTTCCTCGATTACTAGAAATTATATTAAGGTCCCTTTGATTGGCTTTAATTCCATGGAAAATATCACATCCGAAAATTTCGTTTTCTAGTTTAGCCATTTGATACGAAAGTGAAAATGGAGTTCGAATTTCAAGGTACATTGAGTGGAAAATGTATTCCTATGATTTTGTTGGGTTTTTCTTTTTCAATTCACACAGAATTGATTTGCTTTTTCTACATTTGCAATTAAACAAGGCCTTATTTCCGATTAAAAGGTAACATTGCCTTTTCAAAAAGTGAAACTTATTAGATAGTCACAAGAATTGAAAACAATTTGTGTTGACAAGAAATTATTTAGCATGTCAAGACACCAATGAACTGTTAAAGGAATATTGTAGCAAAACTTTTAGAGAAAGAAGAACGACTCCTGTCACAATTCTTTGAAGTCAACTAAAATGGAAAAAGTCAACTAAAATGGAAAATTCATCCATAAAACGTAGCAATGAATCAAAGGTAACATCCGCCTTTTCAAAAAACTCCTATAAAACAGGTAAGAAGTGCATTTTCAAAGGAAGGAAAAAAGAGTGAAAAAAATTCAGAAAAAAGGGAAAAAATAATCTTACCGACAAAATCGACTTCAACACTATTCACCATCATTGTCATCTTCTACACATTTAATCAAAGTTAGTTTTTGTTTTCATTGTTTAAATTTTATGATTTTACGATTGAATGAACATACTTTGATTTTTAGATTCAATCTTGATAAAATCTATCAATTTATGCTTTTAATGCATGGCTTGAGGTAGATATATTGTTAGAATCAAGGTTAGGGATTATTTTCATGATTTTTTGGGGCGAACCTAGTTGGAAATAGTGAGCTTCGCTGCTCGCATGGTAGTCTCCATACGGCCATGCATTTGGGCCCACTGTTTGGCGTTTGGGCCATTTTAAGAGTATCTTCGTCTTTTATATTTTGAAAAGTGGAAATTATAGAATTCCCGACATTTGGAGATCACTGTGCAAGATTCAGCCACCGAAATTGTTTATGCAAATCTCAAGTTTTAATTTAATTATTATATATTTAAATATAAAATTATAATTTAGTTTTCCAACGATATGTATTGCAACTGCTGTGTTCCCTTAATTATCGCAATTTGAATTGTAATAATAATAACTTCCATAATAAACCATTTCATATATCTCTCACTCTCTTGCTCCCAATCTCTCAATCCTCTACACGGTTCCTCTCAAGTGTGCCGGAATTTCGCTTTTTCATCTATCTCCCACTCTCTCAATCGTCTACACCGCTCATTGATCTCACTTCTGGCAACTTAGAATACAAGCCACATCCGGCCGCATCAAGCAGTGAATAATACTCTCCGCCGTTTTCACCCAAATCTCTGTGGATATCTGAAATGGAGAAGTCGAAGGCTGCGAAGTTGGTAATCAATGTGGAAGATACGTCCGAACGTAGAAGCAAGAGGAAATCCGTGGTTAGCCCCAAAAAAACACCACCTAATAAGCAACCGGCATCTCTGACCGCGAAGAAAATGCGCTCGAAAAAGGTAATTATAATTTTAGTTGTTAGTTATTATGTTTTTATTGGCAAACATGGTGATAGAATTCATGGATTAGAAGCATTGAAGTCTTAGGTAATTTTCCCCTCATTTAATCGGCCCTAATCGTTGGATTAGGGTTCTTGGTACCAATATTGAGTGTGACCTAGATTTCTCCCGAAATGTCGTTTAATTACATAACAAAAATTATGTCTGTGACCTCGTCATTATGAATATGTGACCTAGATGTCGATGTGTGACCAAGGGAGCTATGAATGTGTGGCCTCTAATGACATTGCTAATGATTCAACTGATTGTTGCATATGAGACAAGATGTCAAACTGTGACTGTTGCTTATATAGTACCACAAACAAAGTACATAGGAACGTACGTCATTTGTCAATTGATCAATTGTCTGCGACCTCGCCATTATCTATATGTGACCAAGATCTCAATGTGTGACCTGAATGTTGACATCTCAACTGATTGTTGCATGTGGCCTGATTGTTGACAGTATTTATTTATACATCTGTGACCGTACGCATTATGAACAATGATGCCTACATTTGACTAATATGTCAAATGTGACTGTGGCTTACATGGTTTGTGGCTTGAATGCACAACAAAATGTATGCCAGTAATTGTTTTGTATCATGATTAGAATATAGAACATGATAGTCATGGCATGTGACCTACGTGACCTCATACAGTTGTATATAGAACATGATACTCGTGGCATGTGACTATGATAATCGTCTGTGACTAAGTTCTGTTGTAGCATTACACATGCCTGTGACCATATTATTTCTGGTTATACAACAATGTTAATCTATCTGTAGCCAGAGTACACAGTTGCATACATCTAATTGTGTGTGATTTCCCTACATTTATGGAACATTGGGTCTTTCTAAACAATTTTGTGCAGGATTGGCAATATATCATACCGAAGGAACGATGGTTCCCAGGCAAGATTACAACATCAGTCAGCAAGGGTGTACTTTCAAGTATCCAATCAAAATTATCTGACCGACAGAAGCTCATTATGAAGGGAACATGCTTTGCCCATTTTCTCGACTGCCATGAAATTGTGGTACAACCGCAATTAATTCACTACTTCCTCTTGCGGCAGGTCCAACAACCTAATCCTACGGAGTTGTGGTTTTTAGTTGCTGAGCGTTATGTTAGATTTTCTATATCTGAGTTTTGCATAGTCACGGGGCTGAGATGTTCTGGCGATAGTGACACGGGCATTTTTGAAAATAGACAGTCACAACTTAAGAATAAGTACTTTTCCCAAGTCGATATCGTGACACATGAAGATGTGAAGTCCACATTCATATCTGCTTGCCAAATGCCTGATCTGGATCTTGTTGAAACTCTCCCGAATCATGATGTGGCACTCATTGGTATCCTGTACTTCATTACTGCATACTTATTTTCTAAAGATTATAAGAAATTGGTTGACCATTACTTGTTCACACTTGTTGAGGATTTTCCCGCGCTGAACAGTTTTCCATGGGGAAAGTTACTGTTTGAGATTACTTTGAGTTCTTTAAAAGATGCATTGAGTCGACAAACCGCACATTATAGGCTACGAGGTATGTTGGTAGCCTTTCAAGCATGGATCTACAAAACCTTCCCTGACCTAGATGAAGTTATTGTCACAAGGGTATCGAGGACGCACCCTCGAATCAATAACTGGAATGCAAACGAGCAACCTTCTACATCTAAGTTGGAGGAGCTAGGCTGCTTCAATAAGCCTAATGTAATGTTTCAGTAATCCATATTCTTCTGATAGTGGAATATGTGGTAAATATATTGGTTCTCTAATCTTTTACTGTAATGCAATGCAGATTGAAATATGTGACCTGAAGCCTACTGAAGCTGAAATGGCAATGCCATACATGGATGGCATGTAGCATAACAAAATAATTCAACCAGAGTCTTCTCAGAGCAGCCGTCGAAAGGAAAGCAGGAAGGGAAAGTCTGTTGATTCTTCACACATGAGTGAGAAATCAGTGCCTTTGGTAACGGACACTGGTGTTAGAAAGGCTCACATTACAAATGATGATGACGATTTTGTGGATCCTCCACGACGATGTGAGGGGCTATCCCATCAAGAAACACCCCGTGCTGATGAAGGCCCTTCAGGTCCCCCACTTTCTCCAAATGAAGAACAACATCATGGGATCCAAGCGAGTGCTGTAAGATTATTTTTATTTCTGTTCAATTGTTTGTAAATTGTGGTCACAGTTCACATAGTACTAGTCACAGTTCACTTAGTGCTGGTCACAGTTCAATTCTCGTGGTCACAGACATCTTTTATAAGGTCACATTTAACTATTTTATCTTAATCATGTTTACAGGTGCTTCACGATTTGAATGCGCAACTTTCAGAACTTAAGTCACAGAATAAAGTATTAACCGTGGAGATGGACGCCATCAAGTCACAGATGTCGAGCCTCAACTCTGATCAGGCAAAAAAGATGTCTGAAATCATCCTAATACAAGGACAGTTAAAACATGACATGATCGAGATTAGGACGAACATGCAATTCCTGTCTGAATCCGTGACTGCAATGATCTCAAGCTCCATGGATGAGATATTAAGGCGATTCAATGATAGGAAAGGTTGTCCAGTTAATGAATATGAAGACACGGAAGCTGCTGTCGAAGGATTCGAGAAGATCGACGAGGTAGGTACATGATATGTTCAATCTATCTATGATATGTTCAATCTATCTATCACTGAACATAGTTACAGATTTTATGTTTGAAATTCTCCAATTTCACATACAGGTGGAAAAACTGCAACCTGTTGTCGACAGGAAAGGGAAGGGGAAGGTCGACCCAACTGAAGATGTTACCTTTCCAAGTAGTCTTGAACCGCCATCATTTGACCTGGGTATTGAATACACACAACCGGATGATTTGGAGTCTTCAGAAATTCAAAAGCAGGTAGATGCTATCATATCTGATGTGATCACAGCATCCCAAAATGTTGACGAAGAGGTAGTCAAATTATTATTTTTTAGTGTAATATGCTAGTCACACAACGTTTTCATCGAATTTATGTAAACTAAATGTGATCTTTACAAGTCACAGGGATCACCAACTACAGAACCGGCATCTGCATTACCAGTTAAGCGGGCTTCAACGCCTGCGAGGATACTGCGGTCCCCATTTGTTGTCAGGGAAGGAAAGGTACTGCGGCATGACGGTAATGTTATTGTATTTGGAAATTATAAAGATCATGTTGATGAAGCTGATAAATCAGCATTCTTGGGTAGGTTTCAGAGAGGGTACAAACCCAAAAACAGGCATGTACATGTTTCTTATATTTTCAAATACACTGGTCACACAGTTACAGTATTTTGACAGTCAACTTTTGGCAACAGAAAAAAGTTTAATGAGCAAGATGACCAAATCAAACCGGCCTTTAGTATTGGCTTATACCCTGTCGGTCACAAGACATGGTTCTATCAGCTGATAAATGCAGAAACGTCTTTAAGCGGCTCGGAATGGTAACGCTTATCTATCTGTTCACTACACATTTCCTTATTAACCAGTCACACAATATTAAGAACCTCATACAACACTATGTACATACTGCTGAGCAGCCCACTGTCATAGAGTCATAACTTTTTAATGTTGTACCTAACTGTGTCCTTCATGTTCAAACAACACATGGATGCATGCTTCTACTATATTCGCCAGGTAGCAAAATTTGGGAAAGTAAAGTTAAGAGGTACAACGATGGACTCGTGGTTCCAGAAACAGATAAAAGACATATTTCCCGCTTTCCAAAAAGACCCTCAAGTTCTGTTGTCGGAGAGCAGCATGATTAAGGCTGTCACAGGTCGCTTGATATCCCTAAGCACATCTTGGGCCGATGTAGACTATGTGTTCATACCACTCCTGCCCACGAACAAAGCTCACTGGATGTTAGGTCTAGTAGAATTTAGAAGCCATACTTTGATGCTGTTCAATTCAGCTGGAAAAACATATCGTGATTGGAATGTGCTGGAAGGTATTGAACCCTATGTGAAGGTATTGCCTGCTCTTATGAAAGCGTTGGGAATTTCCAAAAAAGATCCCGATTACAACGAATCTGAGTGCAAGCAAATGAAGGTGACCATTGACAGTACCCTGCCTCAGCAGACGAATGGGTAAGTATGTGACCAACTACAGCAGTATAACTTGTAAATTAATTAATTCCTAACATACTATAATGTGTGCTTTTACAGTCATGACTGCGGGGTGTTCGTGATATTGTACGCATTGTATATCCTCCGTGATGGCAGATGTGCTATTCCCCATAAGTTCGATGCTGCAAAATGTAGAATTGATATCGCCTCACTACTCTACAAACACCGAGAACCTTACGTGAAGAAGGCGAGGCAGGCTTTTAAAGGGGAGGGGATTGTAATAGAATGACAAATATGAAAACATTTGTAAATGAATTTTATGCTTCAATTGGTAGCCTTTTATAATTCTTTCAAGCAATGGAGGTGTTTGTACTCAATACTGTCATGTGGATGTGAATATACTTTTGCAATACATGGGTGCCCCAACCTTCATTTGTTAATATGTTGTTGCAATACATGGATACACAGTTGTGCTTTTGGTATATGATTTATTTTTTAATGTCGTGTGTAAATTAGTTTACATATCAACAATACCAGGTCACAGATTTAAACTCTCATTTGGTGGGAGTTACTTTGGCATGACATATGTCGATAACAGGTCACATGCGATATACATAGCAAGTTACGGATTTTAGTACACATAATATATGATGCAAAGATCAGGTCACGGGTCGAACTGTACCTTAAACATTAGGTCACAGGACCATGTCACAGATTTAGTATTGCTTTTGGTCGGCGTTTCAGTTTGTCATTACATATGTTAATAGCAAGTCACATAGTAAATAACAGGTCACATACCTGGCCACTGATTTGGTTGTGATTTTGGTCACAGTTTTTGTTTGCCATGGCACATGTCAAGAACAG